ATAATAATAATAATAATAATAATAATTATTATTATTATTATTATTATTATTATTATTTTATTTGTATATAAACAATAAAATAATAATAATAATAATAATAATAATAATAGTAGTAATAATAATAATAATAATAATAATAATAATAATAAAATTGATCATCAGCATCCGAATAACTCACCGATGTGCGACCCGAATCTGCACCCCGAGCTGAATATAAACTTCTCTCTCCCACAACCGGCAGTACATCCGTCTTCTTCATCCCGCAGAGCATCGGAAGCTAAAGGATAATAAATAATTAGCGCTGTGACTGACAGGCCTGGCCAGCGGAGGAGGGCACCTCATTAGCCGTGTCCGTCCAATGCAGCTCCGTCACCGTGACACTGTCAAATGCAGTCCCTATTAGTGCCACTTACAGACTCGGACCCTTCGCCAGAGGCCCGCGGTTTAAGACGCAGCCCTGTCACTATTCAATATGGCTAAGTTTGGACTCGTTTCAAGCCAGGGATGAGCAGCCTGGCACTGGGTTAGATGCTTGTCAGCTGGAGAAATATGCTAGCTGGAAACTGTCAGTTAGCTTGAGCCACAGCTAGCGTTATAGTGCCGGTCAGCTTAATTAAGAGCTTGTGTTAGATGACAGGAGAGCACCGGGTCTGGATGTAGATGTTCATGTTCATGTTTGTATCGCATTTCTTGTCGCTTGTTCCCAGGTAGCAGGGATTGAAGGAATGCTAATCGCTAATAGGAAGGTGGAGAACCAGGTGAAGACGTACATCACTTATAACAAGGGCCGCGACTGGAGGCTTCTGCAGGCACCCAGTACTGACCTCGCTGGAAATCCGATTCACTGCGTGCTGGTGAGGACAATTATTTTATTTTATTTTATTTTATTTTATTTTATTTTATTTTATTTTATTTTATTTTATTTTATTTTATTTTATTTTATTTTATTTTCCATACATTAATTTAATTTAGCTTTAAATTAGCTTTATTTTAGCTTTATTTCATTTTATTATCCTTGACAACAATTTAATTAAATTTAAATATAATTAAATTAAAGTTAGTTTTAATTTAATTAGATTTTATTTGATTTTCCATAAATTTAAATGTTTGCTTTTACTTTATTTATTTTTTTCTTTTTTTTTTATATATCTTAATTTTAATTATTTTTTGTTTTAGTTATACAATTGTATTAGTGTGTGAACTATTGGATTAATTTATTAGCTTATATAATATTAACATTTAATTTATTAAATTATTTATATTTGAATTATTTTATGTTATTTTTAAAAGTTTGTAATTTCTTTCGATTGTTTTTTTACATTCAGATTATTTTTGACTTGTAAATTTATAATTAGTTTTAGTCAGTTTTACAGTATTTAGTTTTTTTTTTCTATAACCATTTATGTAAAATAATGACCTATTTAATTCTTATCAAAAATGTTTGTCTATTTATTTATTTATTTATTTATTTATTTATTAATTCATTCATTTTAGTTTTTAATTTTTAATTTTTTATTTTTTTATTATTATTTTTTTTTTTATTATTTTAAATTTTTTTGTTTCAATAATTTTTTTGGTTTATGTTTTTTATTTATTTTAATTTATTAGGTTTGCTATTTTATTACTGTGTGAACTATTGGAATATTTGGTCAGTGTGCTGATGTTGTTGTTTTTTATTTATTATATTATTAATTTATTATTATTTTTTTACTTGTTGGTAAACTTATTCCCATATTTTTACATTCAGTTTAATCATGCTTATATAATTTATTAATGTATTTTAATTATTGCTTAATTTTATGCATTATTTTATTTCATACTTTCTTTTATTAGTAGTAGTACTCTAAACTGTAATTTCGTTTGGTCAGTTTTGTTATTCTTGTTAGTTGTGCAGATAAAAAAAGTTCTATATATGAGAAACTCCATGCAAATGACAACCTTGCCATGAAAAACCGTTTCTGCGTTTTTTTTTTTTTTTTTTGTGGGCTTGTATTTAACAGTGCTTAAAAATACTCAAAAATGTCTCTTTAAGTGTTTTTATGCAATTATATTTAATATACCAAAATCATACAAGTGGCAATTTCACATCTGTCACATCCATAACAGAGACGTCACATCCATAATGAAGCTTTTTCCTCAGAAATACAAAAATGTAAAAAATCTAATTAAATCAGTCATGTTTGTTCTTTATTGATCCAACTCTCATCTTTTTGATTAGCATAGTTTCTTTTGGGTTGCGGAGTTTAATTCACAGAATTTCTACAAAAGAATTTTAATTTAATTTAATTTAATTTAATTTAATTTAATTTAATTTAATTTAATTTAATTTAATTTTTACTCATTCGTTTTCCTTCAGCTTAGTCCCTTATTTATAACAGCGAAATGAACCACCAACTATTCCAACATATGTTTTATGCAGCGGTTGCCCTTCCAGCCGCAACCCAGTACTGGGAAACATGCATTCTTTTATTTTATTTTATTTTTGGATCTATTTGAATTTTTTTTATTTTATAATATTAATGTGTATGCCAAATGTACAAAAAAATCTATTTTGTTAGTACACTCAAAAAAATTATATGTTGGCGTTAATTAACTTTTTTTTTGTCCACTGGTTCCACGTAACCGAGTTAAGTTACCTTTAAGAAAGAATATTAATTTTAGGGAACTTAAGTTAGTTACATAAAGGTAATGTAATGTTGTTTAGTTCAATCAACGTAACATTTATAATTTAGCTTTAATCAATGTAGTTATTTAAGTTCAATTATTGTAAAATTGATATTGTTATGTTTAACCAAATAAAAAAAACAGTTTCCGTTTCATAGAGTTTATTCAATAGCATTTTTACAGTTTTACACATTTTCCAGCAATAAAATGGTTATCAAAATCCAAATACTGTCTTTATCTGTATCTTCACTTATTACAATAAGTTAAAATATTAATACTTTAAAAATAATAGTAATACAAGTATGAAGTAAATTGAAAACAATAAATGATTTTTAAAATATGCTTACAAAAACATCATAAAATACACTTTTCAAAATAATACTTTTCATATATTACAAAAAACATTCAAAAATAATATTCTGCCTTCAAATGATTTATCAAAAATATACTTAGAAAAATTAAGTCTTCTTTTGTAAACTATACTGTACCTTCTTTACACTGAAAAAGCAGAGAACACTTCAGTTGTTCAAAGAAAGATTAACATTTTAAAGCAAAGTAACACGATCAGCAATACACCATAAATTAGACCAACCATCACAGAACATGCAATAGCTACACACATTCATCTCTGACACTTGCACCATTTATGCACATTTGCACCAGACACTTTCTTACAACCACTCCCTATATCTAAAAAACAAAACATTGTGCATGAAGTCTGCTTCACACAGGTGTGTGGGCTTGACAAACCACATGTAGAAGCATTCTTAATTCTTAAAATGTTTTGTATAATTAGCACATCTTGGGTGTATCGCCTCTTCTTGTTGATTTGCTGAATGTGTCCTCAATTGTAAGTCACTTTAGACAAAAGAGTCTGCTAAATGTTAATGTAACTACTGTAGATTCATAAGGTGGTGTTGCACATCAAGGTTTGCGCTTCATCATGCCCAGCATCCTAAAAAAGTCAGGTAAAAAAATAAAAATTTACCAACAGATCAAAGGTGAAAGGAGGAATTGGTTTAAGAGGAAAATACAAAATGTTTAAAAAAATAAAAATAAAATAGCTTACCATGTACTCCCTCACTTAGGGGCTTTGAGGATGCATTCACACCTTTTTTTCCACTGGTGATGTTCTAAATGACATGAAATGACAATTAGTAATTTACTAAATAATTATTAGTTACAAATACTAGTAATTTTTACTGTACATCATTTTAATGTGTGTATAGGCATCTAAAGGCATAGTACCTGGATGATCCGGTCTCCTCAGCCAGATATGGGACTTTAGAGGTTGAGCTGTAAACCTGTAAAGGGAGAAAATAGATGTGAGTGAGCAAAGATTTAAAATAATAAAATATAATAATATAAATAGCAAACTACTAAACTTAAAAATTAAAAATAAGCTTACATTAAATATGTCATCATGCTAGATGTTATCCTATTTAAGTGTCACATATGCTTGTCAAGATTTTTAACAGTTAACAGGCTTGAATACAATTAGATAATAAATAACAATGTGCCAACACCACATTTTAATTAATATTATGTAAGTTATGAAAACTGGCATTCAAACTCGACAAACTGCTTGACACTCATTTAAAATAAAGACTATCAAATCATATAAAAAATCAAATCACTTTTATTGTCACATTATCAGCAGCACGTGTGCTTTGATGAGTGAAAAGCTTAGACTATTCTAACATGACTATTCCTTACTACCAACGTTTGCAAATTTATTTTGGGGGAGTTAATATATACCAAGTATAAAATTTCACAGAAATGCAAAACAAACTATACATTTATATCTATAATGTGGAAAAGACACAGGGAACATGGCAATTTCATAGCAATACTATACACAAACACAACAGAGTATTACAAGAGAGTACATTTATGATTCAAATGTTGTCACAGCCTCAGTATAAGTACATAAAAAGTAAAAAAAATCTCACCTGTATGTCCACATTGGGGAAAGCTTTGTGCACGTTCTCAATTTGTACTGTAATCTTTATCTTTTGATTCCCATAATATGGCGCCGAGCTGAGAGTGATCATTGTGGTTTGAATCTTCTTACTTCCTGTGTTGTTTTGAAACTGCGCATGTGCAGATATTACTCCACCTATTGACCAAAATGCAGTACTACAGAAGCAACACAACTCCCTTTCATCCATGTTACATAAGCGAGCTGTTTAAATGTGAAAACTAACTTTTTCTAATTTTTTCCAACACAACACTTTTATTTTTTATACACAAACATAGGCGAGTTGTTTAATTTAAACATAGTTACATTCTTTGGACCAACTAAAGCCATAATTCATTTTTTTGAGTGTATGTGATCTAGTGCAACATTCATTCTCTAAAGGATTTGAAAAACACAACAATTGAATGCATCTGTAAAACATAATAAATAAACGAACGTATGAAAGAACGTACAAATGAATAAATTAAATAAAAATTAAATGAATAAATAAAGAGTTTACTCAAGTAATAGCTTTGTCAGTATTTGTAAATATAAAAAAAAAGTATTTTCATGACTTGAATATGCATGGATATCCCCAGGAAGCAATGAATATTTAGTATCATGTTCAGATGCGGAAAAAAAGAAAGAAGGCTGAATAAACACACACAGAAAAGCTCCAACAGTTGAAGAGGCTTGAGTTGAATGTAATAGTTCTTTCCTCTGACACTCTCATTAGCCTCCTATAATCCTTACCATTACTGACTCCAAATCCCGTCGCCTTTGCCACTGTAATAATGTCAAGCCGTCCATTGAGGGGATGAAAAGGACGATTTCTGCAGCATAGAGAGCAGATATAATTCTGCTTTTGTTGTGTTGCAAGTCCCAATAGACTTGCTTCTCTAGTCTAATGTCAAATCCCGGTCTTTTGACTGTTAATGACTGTAAAAAAGGCAATTAGCGCTCTTGGTCTCGACAGAAAGATTGTTTTATTTGTCTCTTTTATTGAATGTAGAATCCTAAGTGCGGTCAGTGTGTTATTTGAGCCTCTGTTTATCTGTTACCTATTGTTGGATAAATAGAGCCATTAGTAAGTAATAAAACATTATACCTGCCCTTAAATCTAAAAGCAAGCTAATTTAGGTGTTATTTTCAAAACAGTCTCACAGCTATTCATACATTTTTGACTTATGCTGAGTTCAGACTGCATGATTTTAGCCCCGACTTTGACTC